TATGCGATTTTGCTGTTATGCGATTTTACCACACTCGCAAAATCGCACACAGCCGACCATATAACAAACTCTGTATTTTGAGTGGAAATGTTAGGGGGTTGTCTTATACGCCGAGTCGTCTTATACGCCGGCAAATACGGTACCTTAATGATTCATCCAAGCTTCTATACTATCCTTAGAAAGAGGAAAATCTTGTTTTTAAGGGCCTATATCAATGCATCTGTTTTTAAGAGAACCAATTTAAGTTCTTTTCTTCCCTTTGGGGACATTTTCTTAAGTTAGAATCAATTGCCTGAAAACCTGACCCACAAAGAAGTATACATTCAACCTATATGACCTATATAAGCAAGTCCATTCAAATTCGTGGTTGTCCAGGCAGTGAAACACTTCTACTGAAATGCCTCCCTGAAAATCACTGGCTTTTTATACATCTTCATTCTCTGTCCTTTAGAGCAGTTGGTAATCATTTAACAAACATCTGTGTGCCTCATATATATCAGACAGATAGGCCCTGGGGATATAAAGTTGAACAAGACAAAATAATGGCCTTCAAGTAGTTACCTAGAAGAAGAGACTGGCAGTTATAAAACAAGGTGAACAGAATTTATGAGATGTGTGAGTCAAGAGAAGAGCGCACTTTTTAAAAAAAAAGCTGTGTCCTGCTTGAAACTGACCTTACGCCTTTGGCTCACATTTCATTCAGAGCACTCCCATCAGTGACACTTCTGCCTCATTCCCTCATTCGAGGTGTTGCCTGAGGTTCAGTTTTCAACCCTGTTTACTTTTCTCTCAGGTCTCATCCACTGTTGTATTAAGAAGTTCAGGAAATACTTAGTACATAGAGTGGGCAGGCACAGACTGCCCTAAATTGTCCTGTCCTGACTTGGAAACTCCCAAGTCCACATGAAAGGAAATCTATAGAGTTGTGTCACTTGACGAGGCCTGTTGCAAGATAACCGGCTCACCATATTTGGAGGATATCAGGCAGGAATATGGTAGAATTCATGCATTAAATGAAAGTTTTGAATCAAATAACTTAGATCTAAAATCTTAAGCTGTCTATAGGACATTTTTAGTGAGAAATGCAGTAATTCCCTCAACATAAGATACGTATGCTCTTCACCTCCAACTCCTTTATCACTCATAAAAGCCTCTCCAGTTTTCCTTTACAAACATTGCTACTATATTAATCCAGGCTTTCATCACCTGGTACCTGGGTGGTTCTATTCCCCTAATTTGAGTCCTGCTTCCAGCTCTGTTCTCTAAGGGTATCCATATTGCTAGTCTCAAAATATAATCTTTATCTTATTGCATCCCTACCCATAATTTTTAGTAACTCCCAATTATCTCAGAGTTGAATAATTTTTAGTAACTCCCAATTATCTCAGAGTTGAATTGGAATTACGCAATCTATCCAGACCACTTCCCCAACTGTAGCCTCTTTTATTCATGGTATGGGAAATGGCAGGGCAGCTATTAGCCCGTTGGGCCCCTAACTCCTTGCTGGGACATCATCTATCTTCTTGCGGCTCCACAGTATAGTACTAGTCTCCTGTCCCTGAAACCTTTCAGGAAGCCCCGATCTACAGTACCTCGCCCTCCGCACACCTATAGCCCTTAATTAGTTTAACCAATAGTTTGGGGCACCAGTTGTTGCTGGGCTAGTGTTTCGCTGCTATTTATGCCTCGATTGCTTTTTACCTTTTCAATTAGGGTTCTGCTGAGAGCTCCTGGAGCTGGGGCCCAGTCTTCTCTGCTTCAATAAGTAGATAATGAATTAGTATTTTCTCTTTTCAGAGGCTCCCCCGATGCCTAGCTCAAATGGAATAAACCAGAATTTACTAGTGTTAGGATCTGACCTCCTGCAGCCAAACTGCACAATCACAGGACAGGTGAGGGAGGCCCATTAAAAGCTGTAATCCTATTATATCCTTTCCGTGGGCTGGCCGAGTCCTTGGCTCCGCGCTTCGCGGCGCGTGTGGGCTGCAATGCCCTGCCGGCCAGGACTACTTTTGGCCCTCCACAGCCGCCGTCCACGGTGCCCAGCTGTGCCTAAAAGCCCTCTGAGAAGACCAGGTCCCGCTTGCCACGCCTGACCCCTGGCCTGGGCTCTCCTGGCAGGTTGGTTTTCCCCGCCTGTCTGGGGCCCTTGAGAGCAGAGGCCATGCTGGGGACCCGGAACGCCGCTCCTCCCTCGGGAGAGAGTCGGGGGTGGGGGGTGGGCGATGGGGGGCTCGCCCTCTGCGGAGAGCCGGGCCCGTCCCCGGACTTCGGCCAGTGTGCCTCACAGGGCCGGATTGGACCCTGCGCCGCGTTCCCTTCGCAGCGCTGCCCTAGCGCCTTGCCATCCGCCCTTGGCCCCGACCTGGCCTGGCCCGGGAGCCCGCTCTCTGTGCGTCCTGCCAGGGCGGGAATGCCTGTGGTTAAGGACCCCCGCGCGCAGCACTTGCGGGAAGGCCGCAGAGAAGCTCTGCTGACCGTCTAACATCGGGACCGGACTGCCAAGGGTCGCTGGCGCCCTCCATCACTGCAAGAGTCTGTTCAGCTCTTCAATGGTCATAACTCTTCCACCTTCAACGCCCCCTCCCCGGCCACTCTGACCCCAGCGGGGGCCTTTTTTGGGAACAGTTGTCTCTGAACAAAGTAGATTAAAGGCCCATCTTCCCAGTGTCTAGACTGTTCGGATTTAAACACTTTATGGAGTGTAGTTTAGTCTAGAATAAAAGCTCTGGGCTCTGGAGGCTGATAGGGGTGCACATCTTGACCTAGCCAGTTTTCTTTGTAAAACGGGGATGATAATAGTACTTATCGCATAGAACCATTGTGAGAATTAAATGAGCTATACATGTCAAGTGCACAGTGCTAATCGCGAGTCCTAGTTTTGTTAAGGGATCTTTTCCAAGAAATGTGAAAATGGCTTTGACCAGCAGGTGGCACTGATAACTATCATATGATGTGTAGCGCATCAGAACATACCTGCTGTAGCCTCAAGTGTTCAGAGGCCCCCTGGAAATCTTGGCTAAGTTGGCTGTCTCAAGCTTTCTTCAAGCTGGAAAGTGCTTCAGAGATTAAGTAATACTTTCCTCCTGTTTTTGTAGGTTGAGAGTCACCTGACTGTGGCTTTTTCAATCAGGTAGTAGGGGGTCCCAGGTTTCCTCCCTGAAATTCAGTGTTACTTTCTTTAAAAAAAAACCAAACTTTTCTGCGCTTTGCTAGTCCATTGAGAGATGGGCTAGCAAACCCTGAATATGCGTTAGAATTGGGTTGGAAACCACGGAGTTCAAGTGAATGTCGGCATTCATTCAGCAAATATGATCAAGCACTTACTATGTGCCAGACGTTGTTCTCGCACCAGTTATAACATGGTGAACAAAGCAGACACAGTGCTAGCTCTCATGGAGTTTACTTAGTGGATGAGACCGACAGTGCAACTATAAATAAATATATAACTATAAATTGCTAAGAAGAAAAAAAACGAGGCTGTTTTTGACTGGCTGGCTCACCTCTCTGGGGAGGGGAGAAGCTGAACCCAGGAAGATGTGATAAGGAGTCAGTCATGGAGAGAATGAAAGGAAGAGCACTTAAAGCATAAGAAAGAGAAATTACAAAAGCTCTAAGGTGGGAAAAATCCAGGAAATGCAAACATCTAATGCAGCTGGAGCACGATGAATAAGGGGGAAAGCAGCAAGAGACGTTGTAGTGGTGGTCAGGAGCCTTTGAACAGCGCCAAATAAGGGGTTTGAATTTTACTTTTGAGTATGACAGAAGCCATTGAAAGAGTTTAAGCAAGGAATGCCACAATCCTATTTTTTTATTTTAAAAGTTCACTGCTGCTGCTGTGTAGAAAATGGATTGGATGATGGTATGAATAGCAGGGAGATAAGCAGTTGGAAGATTATTGCAGTAATCCAGGTGAGAGGTGATGGTATCTTCAAATAGAGTGGTGGTGGTGGAGATGGAGAACAGTAGACAGATTATGATACCTTTTGGAGTTAAAATCTGGAAGACTTAATGATGAATTAGAAGGGAATAAGGGAGAAGGGGGATCAAGGGTGATTTTCAGGTTTCTTGGCTGAGCTGTTGAGTGAACAGTGGTACCACTTACTGAGATGAAGAAAACTGGAGGGAGAACAGATTTGAGGGGAGGAGATGTGGAATAGAGAATTCCATTTTATACAGACTAACTTTTAGGTATCTTTGCTATTTCCAAATAGAAATATTTGATTAGCAGTTGTATATAAGAACTCGGAGCTCAGAGGGGGAGATTTGTGTTAGTGATATAAATTTGGGGGTCATCAGCACATGGATGATATTTAAAGTCAAGGGAATTGATAAGGTCACTGAGAGATTACCTGATTTGATGGTTAGTATCACCGAGGGACTTGTGACAACCAGTGTGATTGAATATCTTTTGGGATTTAAAGCTTTAGGTTTTAGCAATTGGGTAAAATGAACTGTCCTTACAGATCTGCAGATGGTCATGTATTTGTCACCCTGTGGTGCCCTGAGATGCCCCATCCCGTGATGGAGAGAGGGAAACAAGATCTCATGTTCACAGGTGCTTCCTGGGTCTGGCCCTTAAGCTCGCTGGTTTCTATTTTCAGTGGGCTGAGGGCCATGTCAATTTTCTGCCATCTACAGGACAGACCATGAAGCTGAAGGAACTTGAGAGGCCAGCTGTCCAAGTGTGGAGCCCAGCCAGCCAGTACCCTGTGTATCTGGCCGCAGGTATGGTGATTTTGTGGCCCAGGATCCACCAGAAGCACATAGGTTGAGGGGAAAGGTAGTATTCAGAATTTTTTATTGAGCATCAGAGAAAGCTTTAGAGTCTGGAAAGGTGGGGTTGGCTCGTAGCATAAGCAAGGGGATATAAGGTGTTTTTGCTACCTGGAGGCAACCTTGGACTATAGCTCAAGACCAAGCACCTCATGCGTCTTTGTTACCATTTGAAAAACAGTATACCCAGTCCCTCCTGTTCCTTCTCCTCTTCTCTCCCTAACCATTTATACCCCAAATCCGTGCGTATATCGTTGCTCATATGCTGCCTCTTCTTGACTTTTCTTGTGCCTAGGAACATCTGCCCAGCAGCTAGATGCCTCCTTTAGCACAAATGGCACATTGGAAATCTTTGAGGTTGATTTCAGGGACCCCTCTTTGGACTTGAAACGCAAGGGAGTCCTTTCTGCCTCAAGCAGGTACTGTGTCTGAACTGCTGATGGGCAGATCCTGGAGTAGACCCTGGAGTAGACCCTGATGGGGAATCCTGAGAGTAGTGTGTGCTTCTCAGGGCTCATGAGGGGACAGGAGAGGGGAGAAGGACCTTCACCAAGTTGGAGAGAAGTTAGCTCTGGGTTTATTTTGCAAAAGGACTTTGAAAGCACCCTCTCCTTTCTGGTCAGCAGAGGTGTCAGGCAGAATCATGTAATAGAGATGCCTTACACAAGTCTGGAACCATGATTACCTGATCTCTCTCTGAACCCAGAGATGTTGACTCTTTCCTCCCTTGGCTCTTGTGCAGATAACAACCTTACACAACAACCTCCTCTTCTGCCAATGGGAGGAGAATGAATGATCCTCTCTTCACTGCTGTCAGGGACTGATTGGGTGCTCATGGATTTTGTGTCTCTGGCAGGCTGAGAGGCCATTCACTTACTAGCATTCACTGAGCATGTATACCGTATTTCCCCATGTTTAAGACACACCCTGTTTTGAAAAATTTGGGGTCTAAAAACTGGGTGCGTCTTATACAGTGGTTGTAGTTTTTTTACTTGCATTTCCTGCTGAGGACAAGGCAATATATGAAGACAGTGATTCGTCATCAGATACAGATGAGGACAAGCTAATGGTTGGGAGTTTTGACAGTGATGAGGAGTTGTATGAATTTTATGATGAATAAAACTTGAGTTCAATAACTTTATGTAATACATTTTTTTCCCAAATTTTGGGCCACCAAATTAAGGTGTGTCTTATACATGGGAGCATCTTATACATGGGGAAATACAGTATATTGGGTTGTTGGAAAAGTCATGACGCATTTTTGCAACGAAAAACAGAAAAAAATACGTCATGACTTTTCTGACAACCCAATACATGCCAGGCACTATGCCAGGGCCTCTTTATATCTTAGTCATTCCTTAAAATGAGCCTAAGCAATACATACCATTGTCCCCATTTCATACAGGAGGGAACCCAAACTCTGAAAAGCTAGGATGTGAATCTCAGCCTGCCTAACTCCAAAGCCTACCTTCTTTCCATTATTCAACTGCTCTTTTATATGTTTTGTGAAATGAGGCTTACAGTCTGAAGCAATGGTCTCCACATTTTTGTACCATCAGGAAAAATTTGTATAATCCTACACTCACATTATATATATTCAATAAAATAATATACATTTATTGCTGTACTGTTAATAAAGTACAATTTATATCTTTTTTAGATTAAAAATATAACTCTTTTTTTTTATATCCCAGAGAATTATCTTGCCCATCCCACTTTAGAGATTACTGGTCTAGAATGTTCCATCTTCTTGTGCATTTTGGGGTCCGTCTGAGAGATTAGTTAAGATGTTTAGACAGAAGACCCTCTTTTTTATGTTCATGGTTTAATCTGACAATGGAAGTTTAGTTATTGTTCTTTTTTTCTTGAGCGCCTGTATCACTTGATGACAGCATCCTTATTTTGCAGTTTTCTACATCTCTTTGTATTTTCAGTACCTGTACCTTTTGAAGAGCAGGCACGGGAGGATTTACCAATAATGATGAGATATCCTTAGCTTCTAAACAAGCATTTCAGAAAAGGCCCCTGAAAGGGGTGAGGTAATTTAATAATGGTGATACTCCTGGAGAGACGAAAAGGGGCAGTGGGCAAGAGCTCTCATCGACTAGCCAAGCAGCAGTTTCAGCACAGTAGTGGCTCCTTAGGGTTGAGTTCCTAAAAAAGAGGCAATGTGATTGCTTAACAAACCTTGAAACTGAATCCTAAGGTTCACGTGGGCAGGGATTTTTGTCTGTTTTATTCACTGCTATATCTCTAGCACCTAGGACAATGCCTGGAAAATATTAATAAATATTTATTGAATGAATGAGTGATATTAGAAATTTCTGGTTTACCAAATTGAGTTACCACTTCAGTTAGTTATAGTCTTCAGTTAGTCTTAGTGCCTTAAGAGCTTTTCAAGGGTGACAATCTGTTTGTTTTGCAGCCAACTAGTTGAAGGGACCCTTTTTGAAATGTTGGTACTGAATTTGGGAGTCATGAACTTCACCTCTTCACCTCATACCCTGCTCCACCCTGCAGAGATTTGGGGGCTATAACCAAAATAAATAGGACAGTTAACACTGTTGATAGTGTCTCATCTCGACTTTCTTTTCCCACCTCTATAATTGTTTCCAAAGATTGGTTCTCATTCCCAAAGACCTAAGGGATCACCTTTGACACAGCCCTGTTGGGGCCCTTTTGAGAAAATCATTTTAGACACTCTAGGGTCTAAGACACCCACTTCCTTCTGTTCCAGGCTGGGTGAGGTCACTTACTCAAAAGTCAGTATCACAAACTATTGACTAAGATGATCAGGGTAGATGGAGGGCCATCCATCGCTTGCTTTATGCTTTCCTCTTTTCTGTGTCATCTACTGCATGGTTCAGTGGAAAGCACAGTTGTGTTGGGTTGCAGCCTTCACTAAAGCTGTGTGACTTTGGGCAAATTGAGTTGTGCCAGTGGTCTTGGGTTTCCTCACTTGTGTATAAAGAAGAGGTTGTACAAGACGACTTCTAAGAACCTGTGGAGCTCAAAATTCAGGCCGAATGTTCAGACTCTTTCCCTTTTCTTTTTCTAGCTTAGTCTCCTTCCTTTTCCCTTTATTTTTATTTATTTATTTATTTAATGTTTAATATTTATTTTTAAATTCGTTTCAGGTGTACAACACAGTACAATAGTTATACTTTTTACCCCTCAAAGTGACAACCCTCCCCTCTCCCTTTACTTTTTTTTAAAAAACTCTTTCCTGTGTCTCTTCATTATTAACTGAACATATACTTTTCAAAATCGCCTGCTTTCCTTTGCCTGCTCTTTTCACCAGACTCGTGTCTCAACCGCATTTGAATTCTGAATCCATGGAATTCTCCTTAATCCATGATGCATCAGAGAAATATCTATTTAGAAATACCTGACTGAAAGAGAAATGTTCTGAAACACTGGTATGGGTGTAGATAAGGGACAGCGTCAAGCTGTAAATAGCCTGAAGAGAATGCGTGGATAAATGCCACTGGATGCAATCAGAATCAATATGGGTTAACATGTGCACTGAAGCAAACGATGTTTGGTTTGTTAGATGAATCTCACTCAAGAAGGAAGGTTTCTGGGAGAGCAATACATTATGTATTGACTTTTGAACTGAGGACATAGCTGCTATGGCTAAAGGATGTCAGAGGCCAATGTGTGATCTGCTCTTCCCCACCTCTGTCTACACTGAGGTTCTAGATCTCTGATTGGCCTCTGTAACCTGTGTATGACCCATCCTGTAGTAACATGGAGAAAGTAGGTGACCTATTTTCCAGTACCTTTATCTCGGTTCTACCTTCTTTGGGGACACTTTGACCTCTTTTTGGGTGTCTGTGTAAGGGACACCACCAAGCAGAAAAAGGTCACTTTGTACACTTCTCTTAGTTTTCCTGTTTCCAAAGCTTGCCTTTTCTCTAGAAGACATCAAGATCACAGAGTAGAGAGCATGGGCTTTGCTGTTGGACAGAACTGGGTTCAAATCCCAGTGCTGCCACCTACTGTCCTCTTGGGTGTGTCATTTAACTTCGCTGGCCCTGTTTTCTCTGCTGTAAATTCGAGATGTATAGTAGGCACATAGCCTGGCACATACCATGCATTAAGAAAAGTAGTTCTCTCCAACAGCCATTGCGCCACTTCACTGTCTTCATTCTCCAGTTGGGAGCACTGCCTTCATTGCTCTGTGTGACTTTCAAGGAGACTTGAGCTACTTTGGGCTAGAGGTGGACTCGTTTCACTTTAGTTCACCAGCACGAGGCTGGGATTTTTCAGAGGAATTTTTCTAAGCAAATAAAAGCAAAATTAAAAAGAAGAAGTACATAAATTATGGGAACAAGGATTTATTTATACAGCACATATTCCTAATCGTAAGGTAGCTAAAGCTTGGCCCCAGATGAGCTTGTATGACTTCCTGATCTCACAGGCCACTCGGTTTATTCTCTTCAGTTTTGCCTTTTGCCTTTTGCCTGAAACATAGCCATGAACTGGTTGCTAGAGCTGGTTCTATCTTGATGAAATTTTCCCTGATTGTTCTAGGCTGGTATGCAGGCTGATGTATCTAGTACAGTGGTTCTCAAGGCTGGCTGTTTGTTAGAATTACTTGGAGGGTCTTATTAAAAATGTAGATCCTGCTCCTGTCTCTGGAAATTCTGCTTCACAAGGTCTGAGTAGGAATCAGAGGACCTGTATTTTCTTTAGGTGCCACCCATGATTCTGTGATGCCATATGGCCTCCATCATTGCCATCATTATCCTGGGAACCTCTTAACAGAGAATTGCAACTGTGTTCTTTTGTTTTGAAAGTTCCCACCTTCCTGTACAAACTCTTCATCTTATACCTTCCCCTTAAATCTCTTAGTTTCTATTTTCAGGCCAAAGGCCATCTTTTTTTTTTTCTCAACATTTTATTTTTAAACTAGTCAAACATAGAAAAGTTGCAGAATAGTACAATGAACAATCATATACCTCACTTAGATTCATCATAGATAACATTTTGTCACATTTGCTCACATGTTCATGTGTGCTCTCTTTCTACACACACACACACACACACACACACACACACACACACACACCGTTGTCGCCTGTCGATTTGCAGAGGAGAGACGATTGAGAAGCCTTGAGCCCACTGAACGATAAAGTCCCTGTCCTTGCTTGACACGTCCCAGGTGTTCCCACTCTCCCAGGTGTTCTCTGTCACACCCTTGCTGGGCTCTCGCTTCACCGTCACTAGTGCCTGACAATAAGAATGTACCCTCTATAGAAAAAAAAACAAGAAAAGAATGTACCTTCTACACACTTAGAGAAAGAAAATTAATTTGTCACACCCTGTGTTCTGCATTTCGGCCACTCTAAAGTAACTGGGCCCTCTTCTCAAACCCTTTGGTGGTGCCCCCCTTCCTTGAAGTCTCAGGTACCTTTTACTCTGGTCTGTATGTCACGTGCTCTGACCATGCTGAGGTCACTACACCCGTTCTACGATTCCCACGTGAGCTTTTCACGGGCTGGTTCCCGTGTGACCTACTATGGGTTTCTCTAGCGACTCTGTTCACCTGCCCTCTCCCCACTCTGACCTCTAGCCCCAGGATGCCATGGCAGCCTCTTGAGCCAGCATGGAACACATCCTTCTGCCCTATTAAGATCAACCCAACCTTAGAAACCATGGCCTTTTTGACAGTAGCTTTAGAGCTACCATTTGTGTCAGCTCTGCTGTTTTGCTTTAGATGCTGACCTGGTCTGAACTGGTGCTCAGCTCTTCACTTCTGACAGGTTGGCTCTGCTCTAATGACTGGCCAAACAGGTTCCTGCCTGGTCACCCCCCCACTCAATTTCTTTGTTTACTGTTCCCCGGGTGCGGGAACATTTCATTTCAGTTAGGGAATTTTAGGACATCATTCGATGTGAAATCTGGCTTCTCTGAAGGGCTCCAGAAATATCCGTGGCTTGCAGCTGTGAAATGGAGGACAGACCACCTATGAGGCTTTGGGGAGTTCACATGCCTTCTCTAGTGGCTTTGCAGAGGACCCATATTTGTCTGTAGGAGCCCAGGGTCCACCTTTTTCTTTTGTGCAGGACACTGGCAGTGTGTTGTTAGAAGCATCCTCAGAAAGCCAGAAAAGTGTTCCGCAAGCAGTACATTTATTCTGTATGCCTCTATCTCTAGGGATGGCCCACTGCAGCCACATAGCAGCTCCAATGGGCCGGCCACACAGGAGAGGTCTTTGGGTCTTTTCTCACTTCCACTTTGGGAGGGAAGAGGGGACAGCAGTTGCTGGTCTGGAGAACATGCTTCTCGTCAGGTACAGAAGGGTTTGGATCTTCCTTTAAACAGGAGACCGTATTTAATGATGGTTAAGAGTTCAGGCTCTAAAACAAGATGGGCCTGACTTTGAACCTTGATTCTACCACTTCCTAGCTGTCAGATGGGTGACTAGCTGTATATACAGAAGTTGATAACTTCTCTGTGCCTCAGTTTCATCCATTCAAAGCAGAATTAAAAATAATACCTTATGGGTTGTTGACTATTAAGCTAATATATGTAAAGCACTTAAAACAGTGTCTGGTCCATAGGAAGTGTTCCGTGTTAGTTGTTATTTGAGTTGTGAGGGTTTGGTGAAGTAATCTATTTGAAGTATTTATTACTAGGTCTATATAACCCCAATAATAATAAATAAACCCCAATAATAACTTAAAAAGAAAAGCATCCCCACACAACTCTGAGGCAGTGGCCTCCGGACTTCCGGTGTAACATATAACAGGTGGAATATTTTTTTTCAGAGGAAGGGCAGGACCAGGCAGAGGAGGCCTCTGTGGTGTGTGTGGGAAATAAGGGGGTCGGGCAGGCCCCAGCGAGGGGTGGGGATGTCTGCAGAAGGGCAGAGGCTGGCATATGTGCCCACCCTCTGCTTACTGACCTGGACCTGAGCTGGTGCTGATGCTAGTTCCTCCTCTTTGTAGGTTTCACAAGCTGATCTGGGGGAGCTTTGGCAATGGGCTTCTGGAAGGCTCCGGGGTTATTGCAGGCGGCGGGGACAATGGCATGCTTACTCTATACAATGTGACCCACATCCTGTCTTCGGGGAAGGAGCCTGTGATTGCCCAGAAACAGAAGCACACGGGGGCTGTCAGAGCCCTCGACTTTAATCCTTTCCAGGTACTCCAATTCAGTTGGTCAGACATGGCCAAGCCATAGCACAAGAGATCAGAATGGAAGTATTCACTTGTGACCTCCAGCCTGTAACTCTGAGCCCTTCCCAGGCTGTTACTGGGGAGGCTCTGGAAGCCCCTTACATGGGTCTCTGTCCCCCTCTTCTGTTCTCATCTCTGCCTGGGATGGTGAGTCTCCAAAGGCCTGTTCTTCATTCAGGGCAACCTCCTGGCCTCAGGGGCCAATGATTCGGAAATCTTCATTTGGGATTTGAATAACCTGAGTGCGCCCATGACCCCAGGATCCAAGTCACAGGTGAGAAAGCCCCCGGGGCTGCTGCTTACGTGTGCAGCTGACTTTTCCAGGAAGTCTTGAATTCTGGAGGCAGCCAGAGCATAGGAGATTTCAGGCTTTACCACTGGAGGGCAATAAAGCTCCACAGACTAATGTCCTACCAGCCGGATTATAACAGGGTTGGAGGGGAAGGGAGGGTGTGTGTGTGTGTGTGGGGGGGGGGACGGGGACAGCAGTTTGTGGTTATTAACTGTGCTAGGGATTTCTGGGAGGAAAATGAAGTAGAGCAGGAGGAGTAGAAGACATTGAGAGAGGGGATGAGGGCACTGTTTATCGTCGGCAGGGTTAGGTAGGGCCCTGGGCTCAGCGGAGAGGACTCCCAGATATACTCTTGTCATTTCTGTCTGTCTTGTCTCTATAACTGTCTCTCCTGCATTCGAGGGTCTCGTGTATGTCTGTCTCTGAGCGTTGCTCTGTCAGTCTATAACTGGACCTCTCTTTTTGCTTCTTGGCTTTTCTCTGCTTTATGCTTACAGTATCGCGAGGTAAGTTAAGAATGAATTTGATAGCATCTTGTGTCCTGAAAGTTGCAATGGCTTTTCTTTCTGCCTCACTCTCTGGGGATCTTGAGTGTCTATGTTTCTTTCCCTCCCTCACCTTCCTCCTTCTCTCTTTGTCAGAGACATAAGGGCTGTTTAAAAAAAAATTTTTTTTTTCAGCTGAGCCATCCTGCCACCTGTTGGCAGCTCAGCGGCAGCTCAGCTTAGGCCAGGCATCGAACCGCTAGTTGCTCAGAGCTCGCACTCTTAGTGAGCTCTTAACCAACTGATCCACTCGGCCGGCCCTGTTTTAAAATCTTGACTCTATCCTCTCAGCACCTTAGGGTAGGAGTAAAACCCAAGTGTGCCTGCCATAGTCTCAGCTTCTATACCAGTACCCTAAAGGACCCTCTCTGCAAAGTTCAACCCAGCTTCCCGAGACTGTCTTGGTTTGGGTAGCCCCACCTAGGTCTACTCTCGGGCATTCTGTGGGTGGTGGGGAGCAGTGGAACAGCAGATGGCTCTTGATCCAGGGGTGACAAGTTGTTCTCCACCCTGTCCCCCCATCCTGCCTCAGCAGCCCCCAGAAGACATCAGAGCACTCTCTTGGAACCGGCAAGTTCAACACATTCTGTCTTCTGCCCACCCCAGTGGCAAGGCAGTTGTGTGGGATCTCAGGAAGAATGAACCTATCATCAAAGTCAGTGATCACAGCAACAGGGTGAGTCGTGGAGGCAGAGGACGGGCTTGGAACCTGCGTCCCCCTCATGCCTTGGAGCAGTCATGGCAGCTACCCTTCACCAGGCCAGGGTTCTTCTTTCAGCTGTTGCGCATGTGGTTTCAGCAGGTTTCCTGTTGGGCATGAAAGCTTAGATGAGTTAAACTGAGGTGACCTGGAGGCTTCTAATGCTCCTCACTCATTCGCGGCCATCTCTCATTTCCTGGTGGCTCTGGTGTTCTCAGTCACCTAGAAGAGACACAGAACCTGCCCTCAGAGTAGCCCCATTCCAACTGGGCAGAGAAGGTTCATAACTAGAGGAGGTAGGTTACATCACCCATTGGGGTCTGCTTTGTTCACAGATGCAATGCTCAGGCCTGGCTTGGCACCCAGATGTAGCCACTCAGCTGGTGCTGTGCTCAGAAGATGATCGTCTCCCGGTGATTCAGCTGTGGGACTTACGCTTTGCCTCCTCACCCCTGAAGGTGCTGGAGAGCCATAGCAGGTAGCATCTCAAACCCCACCTACATCCTTGGAGGAGGGCGAGGGCATAACTGACCTGGGTAGGAGGCAACGGATGCCCCACATTGGCTACCAAACATCCTCGCTGGCTTCAAAGCCATCCCAGTGGACCCACAGTCACCCAGTCCTTGCTCCTGCTGCAACCAAGTGGAGTTCCGTTAGACCCAGAGGCTATGGAGAAGAGCCTAAGATTCCATCTAACTTCTGGAGATGGAAGTTAGATGGGGAGGGGGTCATGAGAAATATTGGAGCCAGTCCTCCTGGGAGAGTCCTCAGGCTCTGATCTGAGGATAATGCTCATTTCTTTAGGTGATGAGGTTGCTTCCTCCAAGATGCCTCCTTAATAAAAGAATTTTGGCTCCTGTTTATCCTGCACACACGCCCGCCTCTGAAGGTGTACCTCTTGGGTCCACAGCAGAGAAAGCAGCCCCAGAGTCTGTTCTTTCTAACTAAAGAGACATGTTGCTTTTCTACCTCCTTGGGGACTTTAGAGAGTTAGGTCCCCATGACTGTCCTGGGCTAACAGCACCCATAAAGATGGGTGCTTGCCTGATTCATGCTGATTCACAGTCCCTACTTTATAGTCAGGGAAAAGCTGCAGACCCCATCCTGCAGTGACCTCTGAGATGCAGAGTGGTACAGTGGGTACCACTGTGGGCTTTGACTTGCGTTCTGGCTGCTTGACTGCTGAAAGTTCCTTAATTTTTCATAGTCTCATTTTCCTCATTTGTAAAATGAAATCAGACTGCTTATTTTATAGGGATGAGATTTATTGAGATATATAAGATGCCCTACACTTAGTAGGCATTCAGCAAACCCTAGTTTCTCTTCCCTTTTTAGGGGGATCTTGTCAGTGTCATGGAGCCAGGCTGATGCTGAGCTGCTGCTCAGTAGTGCCAAGGACAACCAGGTCTTGTGTTGGAACCTGGGGAGCAGTGAGGTAGGCTGGCCCTTGTGTGGGTGTGCTGATGAGATTGTGGGGGAATCCCAGCTTTGGCTATGTGTTTTGGGCTGCCTTATCTATGTTGGGGTTCCCCAAATGGTGTGTTCCCTCACATTAGGTGGTATATAAGCTACCCACGCAGAGCAGCTGGTGCTTTGATGTGCAGTGGTGCCCTCGGTACCCTCCAGTGTTCTCTGCTGCCTCCTTTGACGGCTGGATCAGTTTGTACTCTGTGATGAGTAGGAGCTGGGAAGTCCAGCAGATGAGACAGACTGACAAGGTTTGAAGGGATCAGTGGGGAATGCTGGAGGGAAGGGGCTCTCTTTTTTGGTGAGGGAGGAGAAGGACATATGGCCTGGGAAGAAGAGCGAGAAGACAGGGCGCTGGGTTTGGGAGGACTGCACCTTTGCTCCAATGCCCGTCTTCCTGGGAGGATGTAAGTTCCTGCCACAATACAAAGGAGGCCATTACCTTGACTTTTGTTCTTGGATGTTCCCTGTGGTATTTCAGGGACCTCCACGCTGGGACCATTATTTTTGGAAGGATGAACTGTCTTACTTCCCTTTCTCCTGTGGATACATTTTATGTCCTGCTCCACTGTAGACCTTGGATGCAGTAGACTTCCCAAAGTCTACTGTATGGGAATCCCACCCTCACTAGTAGTCCTCTGGAACATGGGAGTCCAGCCTTTGGGGGCCAGATTGGGTATTTCAAGGATTCCTCCCTAAGTGGAGTTTGTAGGTGGAGTTCCTGGCTAAGCCACAACTTCTGGCAGGTAATGCAGGTGTCCTTTTGCCCCCAGATCTCTTCTTCCTTCAACAAAGGCCAGCCTCTCCCACCATTGCAGGTGCCAGAACAAGTGGCCCAAGCATCGCTGATACCTCCCCTGAAAAAACCCCCCAAATGGATGAGGAGGCCCGCAGGTGTTTCATTTGCTGTAAGTGTAGTGTGTGTTTCTGTGTGTGGTTGTGTGTGTGGGTGATGTATCTGTGTGTGTGTGTGTGCGCGCGCGTGCGATAAGTGTGGTGTGTGTGTGTGGTGTGTGTGATATGTGTGGTGTGTGTGTGTGATGTGTGGTGTGTGTGTGTGTGATAAGTGTGGTGTGTGTGTGATATGTGTGGTATGTGTGTGTGGTTGTTTGTGTGTGAGATGTGTGTGTGTGTGATGTGTGTGATATGTGTGGTGTGTGTGTGATATGTGTGGTGTGTGTGTGATATGTGTGGTGTGTGTGTGATATGTGTGGTGTGTGTGATGTGTGATGTGTTTTGTGTGTGTGAGGTGTGTGTTGTGTGTGTGATGTGTGTGATATGTGTGGTGTGTGTGTGATAAGTGTGGTGTGTGTGTGTGATGTGTGTTGTGTGTGTGTGTGATGTGTGTTGTGTGTGTGAGGTGTGTGTGTGTGTGGTGTGTGTGTGTGATAAGTGTGGTGTGTGTGGTGTGTGTTGTGTGTGTGTGGGTTATGTGTGTGATGTGTGTGATATGTGGTGTGTGTGTGTGTGTGTG